ACAGAATATTCTCAATCGTATGTAGTCTTATAATAACTTTAAAAACAGTATACTGAGAATATCTTCTTGACATCCAGGAGATATACTGAGAATATCCTGAAAATATCTGTGGGATATCCTGACGATATCTATGGGATATCCTGATGATATTTGTGGGATATCCTGACGATATCTATGGGTTATCTGGAGGACATTTATGAAAGTCTATAGAGATATCCAGAAGATATCCTGTGGATATCCTCAGATATCAATGGGATATCCAAACCGCCGATTTTTTGGATATCCTTAAGAGATCCTTTTGATATCCATAGGACATCCCTAGGATATCTGCGGGATATTATCAATATATCCCAAGATATCTTGTGTTATTAGGGTATCAGTATATTTGCCATAATAATAATAATAAATGTAATAAAGTGTAACGATTTTATGTAGCAAATATAAACCCTTCGAATTTGAGAAACGGTTGCTATAGGCAAAAAAAAGTATCTATATAGAATTGTCTCACTATAAGGGGTTGGCAAATGTATTTGGTCACGTGATCGATAAGTTACCTATAAAAAAAATTGTATATATGTATCGCAAATGAAAAGTGTGTCTTTCCATCCAAAATGAATCTCAGTTTTTGGAGATAAGGTGCCACTGGCTTTTCAAAGATTATAATATGTAGTATACATGAGACAGTGGTTTGAGTCTTGGTACATAGAGAGTGGACAAAGGGTTGAATGGGTAGGGGGTCAAGGAGCTAATTTAAAATGAGCACCGTGGTTGGTCTGCACGTGCAGCCGACAGTAAATTTTCGAGCGAGATAAAATGTGCCGGTAACGTGGAGAAATATATATAGTGAAAAGAGATGAGAGAAAAAGAGAGAGAGAGATTTCGCGAGGAATATAAGGGGGAGAGTAATCAATACGAATTCACACGCGGTTTGCATCCCGTTGCTTGGGTAACCGACGCCCACGCATGCGTCCATTAAAGCTGGACCACGAACGGATGCAAGTAGAACTAACAATTCTAACACTGTTATCTTCTTCATGTATAGGATTTACCTGTTTCAGATCAGAGGGATTAATTTGACAACTGAAAGACACGTGTTTTTTTCCCCCTTATAATATTGTTTCATTTTGCAAAAATGAAAAAAAAAAATCCTTTCCTTTTTAATTGAGAAACAAATTTTTGGTTCCAATGATCTTAGAATTTAGAAGCTATAGAGATATAAATTAAGGGCGGGGAGAAAAGAATAACGTGCTATTTTTCTGGAAGCCATATCTAGAAGCTACCCGAAAAGATCTCTCTAAATTTGAATCAGTGAGATTTCTTACTGATGAAATAGTTGGAATTTATAGCAATAACTGAATCACTTCATTAAGATTTTCACTGAAATTTAGTAGAATGATTGAAACATAGTCAAATCTGGTTTACCTATTATTATTAATGATAATGCAGATTTAACTGGGTTTAGATAAGTAATAATTCGACTGATTTTTAGTGAAGACTGAATTTAAGTGAAAAAGTTATTGAAGTGATTCATTTGCTAAATTTCAGTAGATTTTGGAGATCCCAATGAATGAGGATTACCAAAACGTTCTCGAAAGTGAATCTCATATAAGGGATTCGAATATTTGAGTTTTGATTAGCTACACGAACAAAAAATATAAAGTAACTTTTATTATATTTACAAAGTAAAACCTAAACAGTCCGAAACTTGTGTGCGCATTATCTGACAACTTTTGCTCTGAATATAGAAAAAATTACTACTGAAATTGTAAAGTTTACTCTGGAAATAGTAGTTTTTACTACTTACGGAGCTAAATTTGCCATAAATGCGCAAAAATTCCGGACAGCTTAGAATTTACTACAGGGGTAGAAAAAGTTACTTTATTATTGTATTCCATTTTTTTCCGGGCACGACTCTCTAAATTTGAATCAGCGATAAGTATACCACTGGTATCAATCAGCGGATATACGCTGAAAAATCAGTGAAATTCCACTATTCCGCTGATTCAAATTTAGAGAGGAGATAAGCGGATGGTTAAGTACTTTGGTAATTCAGATGACTGAAGATCGTCTTTCGCCAGACTTTTCCTAATTTTTCCTTTTCCTAAGCCTTATAACAAACGTAAAAATCAGATTTTTAATTTATGGAGAACCTATCTTAGATTTAGAACTTACTCGAAAAAAAAAGATTTACCTGATGGAACAGCAAAATAGTTTTCACACAACAATAGGTAAAATTTTAATAATTTTTGTTAAAACTTTTATTATTCTATCGTAAATATTTTCACAGTTCCACTGTATATGAAGTGGTTTTTCAATGTTGTAATTATATTACATATTAGGCATCTGTTTGTCATTAGTGTACAAAGAAACCTTGGCTATTTAGATCCTTTCAGTGTAGGTTTGTAGATGAAAAACTTGTAATTCTCCATGCTAAAATTTAAACCTTATATAGAATACTTACTATATTATAATTGAACCTGGATGTACTGTTGATTACAGAAACTTGGTTTACGAGTCTGGACTAAAGATGTGACGTGAGAGGATTCCGTTTATAGAGTTGATCTCTCGGATCAGCTTGCGGGATGCTCAGAAGAGGGGATTAGCTTTTAGCTCCGGTTTTCAGATTATCAATGAACCCCTATAATCTATTTTCTTGGACTCTTTTGGAAGAAAGTTATACTTTGTGACTTTCATTGACGACTCCAGTAGGTGATAAGAGATAAGTTTTCATTACACATATTACAAGAAGAGAGAGATTGAATATAAATATGTTAGAGATGACAATAGATATCTTCTATTAGAAACTAGGTTACTACTGTCCTTCTTGGCAAAAGCTTTGAGTAATACAGTGAACTATATATTCACGCAACTGTCGCCGAATAGTAAACTCGCTTTGGACAGTGAGTTTGTGTATGAAATTTCAAGCGCTTTAGATGTGAAATCATGGACATGTCACCTGACAAAGGGAAATTTGAACCACTACACAGTTCGACAAAATTACGTTGAATATCTCAGAACTGAGAAACTGATTATATATACATATACCAGTGTTGGGTAAGTTACTTTCTTTTAAGTAACTCGTTACATTTAAGTTACTTAATGAAAAAAAGTAATTAGTTACTGTTACAGTTACTTTTATAAAAAAGTAACTCGTTACAGTTAGGGGAGACCGGGGCTGTTTGGCGCAGGGAGTTGCTTGGCGCACTTGAGTTTATATTCAAAAGTGTTAAGTTACATTAATTTTTCTCTTTATTATTCTGCTTAAAGTACTTGATGAATTGTAACTAGTTACTACCCAACCCTGACGTATACCAAGTTTCAGATTTTTGTCTTATTTCCATCATCCTTTTTTCATATGTTTGTACAAGTTCCCATAAGAGCCTTTGTTAAATTGTTCAAATATTTTAATTTTTTTCCAAAAAATTACGTGGTAAAAAATACACCGAAAAAATTCATTACCTAAATTAATCTTAACAAACTGTCAAAATTTGGTAATTCCTCTTATTTTCTTAAATTGTTAGCGACAATCCTTAATATAATTTTGTTTTAATTAAAATCTAAAAAAAAAATCTATTCTAGAATTTGACCAGTCATTGCGTCTAGATGATATGACCAGTGATTTGTCAGATTATCTGGACAGTCACTGGCCAGTATACAACTTTACGGCAAGTTTGCCGCGCAATATTGCCAATCTTGGACGGCAAACTTGACGCAAGCTAACTGCAAGCTTTAAATGTTCCACCTAAATTCAAGCTTGTATTGTAAGCTTACCGAAAGATTGAACAATAAGATTATCGCAAGATTTCTCAGTAAGCTTGCACGATAAGCTTGGTGCAGGGTTGCCAAATAACCTTGCTTTGAACCTAAATAAACTTTTAGGTTTAATTTTAGGTTTCAAGCAAAATTATTCGGCAACCTTGCACCAATCTTGCTGCAAGCTTACTGAGCAATCTTGCGATAATCTTATTGTGCAATCTTGCAGCAACCTTACACCTTACCCTCCAATCTTTCGGTAAGCTTACCATGCAAGCTTGGATCGAGTGGGATATTTTAAGCTTGCAGAAAGTTTGCCGTGCAAGGTTGGCAATATTGCGTGGCAAGCTTGCCCCAAGGTTGCCCCAAGGTTGCTGCAAGCTTACGTGCTATCTCGGTAGTTGAAATTAGGTCAAAGTAGGTCCAGTATAGGTTTAATTTAGGTCGAATATTGGTTGAATGTAGGATAAAATATAGGTCTAATAGGTTCAAAGTAGGTCGAATGTGGGATAATTGTAGGTCAATGCAGATCATAGTAGGTCAAATGTAGTTTTAATATGTATTTAATGTAGGTCTAATGTTGGTCTAATGTAGGTTTATAGTAGGTTATAATTAATATAACATTCAAAAACTTCTTTACCGTCCCTAATAATTAACCTGTAAGTTTTCAGTAAGATTGCTGCAAATAGCAAAATGTCCTCACAACTCCATAGTTTGCAGAGCAAGCTTGCGGCAAGCTTACGATTACTCAAAACTTTAAGCTTCGCTGTCGAAACATTCAAAAAGTTTAAAAAAAATTATGAATAATTATATTTTAAAAATTATATGATAATTCTTGATAAATTCGATTTACATGTTATAGATTAAGAAATTTCTCTTTCAAAAAGTTGAAGATGGTTGATCGGTATTTTTTGCGATTCAGATTGAAGTAAAAGTAAACAAAAGTGCGTATTTTCGTTTTTGCGGATGATGAGAAAACAGAGGGTTATAGTTACATGTGTAATTATTTATTTTGAAAGATACGCATGTGTCACTAAGAAGGGAATGCAACTACCCCCCTTTTCGCCCGGTCATTCTCAACAAGCCATATAGTATATATATATATATATATACAATATAGTGGGAGTAAATGCAAGGGGATGATTACTGTGTTTCAGGGGTGATTCTGAGGCGCCTGCGTCGAGTCCTCGATGTCGACGACGACGACGACGAGGTAGGTGCTCGACCCGGACGCAGTATTCCACCGACGGACACATAAGTCTCTCGTATCTATAACGCAGGTTTCTCTCTCGAATTCAATATACATTCATCTATTGTCGTGCGCTCCTTTATCAACAATGACTCGTTAATTGTTTCAATGTATTTTCATTCTCATATATAATTTTATAAGCAATATGAAGTACAAAAAATTTATGTCTTAAATATCATCATTCATCTAAATATTATCAACAAAAAAAAAGTATATATATATATATATATATATATAAATATTTCTTTCATACAATACACCGTCAATCCATTATTTCATCTCCTTATAGCTCCATCGAAAAATGAAGCTGTGATTCAGATGTAAAAAAGTCAGTGATAAAATTGCTTTGTGATAACAATTCTTTTTTTTTTTAATAATTTTATTATTTCACTTTTTTAGGCGGGAGTTATTTTTTTAAAAGACATTTTTAATCAGTGATGGTAGTTTATAAATAAACTAAGTTTTTTTCTAATAATAATAATAATAATAATAATAATAATAATAATAATAATAATAAAAATAATATTAATAATGTAAAACAGTAAATAACTTAACAGATTGGTGAGAAATAAATATTAAGTGTTTAAAGAAAAGTTTATTGTTTATAATATTATTTTTATTATTATATTATTTATTTTTATTAAACATTAACGAAATAAAAAAAAGGTATTGTAAATTTCGATATAATTTAACAAATGCATAAAAAAATGTTGTGTGAGACAAAATTTGCTTACTAAGAGAAAAGTGTTGTCGGCTATAAATTTGATTTATAAAGTGAATAGTTTCGACAGGTGATAAATTTGCTTATTAAATAAAAAGAGAACTGTGATAATTTATTTATTTATTCAGTGAATGAAAAAATTGTGCGGTAGTTGGGACAAAATTTATTTTCATGATTATTAAATGAAGCTTTTTGTATTTAAATTGTTATTATTGATAAATAACAACAAAATAACAAGTAATATAATATAATATAATATAATATATATTATAATATAATATAATATAATATAACAATTGTCAGAAAGTTTTTTCGAATAATTGTCACACCTAAATGTGAAAAGCAAGGGTTCTAGATGATGAAATGGAATGTAATGACGAACATGATAAAAATGATGCTATATACAGTGGTTGTTCAGTGCATATATATATGAAAGAAACTATACAGAAGGAATGAATTCGCATAAGAATTTTTAATAGGCAAGAACTGTTTTTGTTTATTGTATGTGGAGCAGAAGAAGAAGAAGAAGAAGAAGAAGCAGCTTCATATAAAATTCCTCTAACCACAAAACCATCATTCCAAGTTTCCTTAAGACTCGAGATTTTGCTTTTCATTCACAAGCACCGACTGTAAACACTGACGTATATTCATTTCATAGGTACGTCATTTACCATCTCAAAAACTATTTAACCCATCTTTCCTGTTTTCATTCTTTTTTTCTCTCTTTATTTCAAGTTTCTGATCGGCATCGCATGGTGTATGTGAGAAAAGTGATATTTTTTAATTGCAGTGCAGTTTTAAAAAATAATTTAAAAAAAAATTTTTTACCTCATAATTACTAAATATTTTAATAATTATTATCTGCAACTGTGCAATATTGTATAGAATAATACAAATATTAAAATATATGTATAATATGGTATAATAGTGGAATATAAAATTATACATTATGTTTATTGTATATGTAATGAATATAATAGAAGTTAAAATTAAGGGAATACTACGTCCCTAATAGTATCAATCATTTAGGAATCATTATTTCTATATTTGTTGATCACGAAATAAATTTTCATAATGATCGGTTTTATTAGGGAAATTACTTCTATATTTTATACTTAAATTCAGTAAAAAATATTTTTCTAATAAATTAGATTTTTTATTAGTTTCACAACCATTTTATTTTTTATATATATTTATTACAATTTAAAATTTTACAATTAAATGTTCGATTTTATTAACTATGGATAATTTTGACTGATTTTGATTTGGATACAAAAACAATTGATAAGACTTCTCTGAAGTTGCTTGTGAATGACAAAAAACGATTTCATATAATTTCAAATTGAACTTTTTTTTTTAGAAATTTATAATAATCATCGGTGGGAATTCAAATTTATTAGAAAAAAATTTTTAGAATTTGAACTTTGTTAGAGGAAAAAGAAAAAAAACTTTAGAATCAAATAAAAGTTAGAAAATATTTTTTAGAAAAAGTATACTTCAATCAGAATATTTTTTTTTCGGTGTATACGACATATATAAAAGTATGGCTGTTATTATTTATGAAGATAAACTTTTTTGATTCTTTTAGTTTAGATTTTGTTACACTCAATGTTTTGTTGTCTCAACTATAAAAAAAGTTACAAGAAAAATATTAAAACTTTTTTTCAATTTTAGTTGTGTCAACAAAAATTTTATTGACGAATTAATCAAAACTTTTGTGGAAAAATCAAAAATAACGGTTGCACTTAATAACTATCAAATATTTATCAATAAGACAAATAGAAGAATTCTGTTTTTAAATTGAAAAATTGTTTAGATCAATGCATTAAGTATTATCATTAACAATATGAAATATAATGTATAATTTATATTAGAAAGCATATATATATATATATATATATGAATTGAGAGGAGAGTAAAGAATTGAATATACTTATAAAAGTGGTGAATCAAGATCATTGTGCAAAGTGAAAAGAAAAGGATTGAAAGTTTTCTTTAGAGACAGAAGAATTTTGAATGGATTGTTGCACATCAAGTAAATCCGGTGCTATTAATCGTCGTTTGCATGTGGGTCACGAGCTGCAGCTAACTAACAAGATAGAGGGTTTACCGAGCTAAGGTAAGCCAATTAAACATTAGTATATCAACAACATCAACATTAGCACGATTTTTGCTTTGCTGTATCTTATCTTTATTCGATGAGACCTTAGACGAGACCGACAATCAATAGGTGGAATGTCTTTCAAAGCACTGGGCTATACTATAAGTGCTGTACATACATATACCTGATTTTATTATCAGTTTACATATATTAGAGCATATATTATATGCTATAAACTTCATTTTATTATTATTAACACAAATACAAGGGCGAATTATTCATTTTTTTTTCAACGTATTTAAAAAAATTAAGAAACAATTTTTTTTTCATTTATATACACCGGGAAAAAAAGATTTTGTGTTTGCAACAAAATCGTTCAATTGAGCATTTTTAGTTGTAAAAACAATATTATGTTTGATATTATATAAAATGATTTGGTTGGCGCAACAAAACAGGTTGTTTATGTGAAGAGAATTATTTTGTTATACATCAGATAGCACGTAAGCTTGCAGTAACCTTGCAGCAAGCTTGTCGCGCAATATTGCCAACCTTGCACCAACCTTGCTTTACCGTGCAAGCTTACTGATAATCTTATTGTGCAATCTTGCAGTAACCTTACACTGCAATCTTCAGGTAAGCTTACCATGCAAGCTTGAGTCAGGTGGGACATTTGATGCTTGCTGCAAGTTTGCCGTGCAAGGTTGGCAATATTGAGTGGCAAGGTTGCTGGAAGCTTTGCGTGATATTTGGTTCTTAACATTCTCACGCATGCGCATCTAATTGAAATGGAAGATGAAACATAACCTCGAAACAATAAGTGATATTTTATTCTTTTGAAGCGTACATAGTTCTGTTATTATTTGAATTATCTTTCAAAACTAAATTTACTCTACACTACGTGTATACAAATATACGTTTATTAAAAGTAAATATTTTCTCAATTTATAAAATAATTGATATGAAAACATTTTAAAAAATATTGCAACAAAATAACTTTGTTTACTCAATCAAACAGTTTGGTTGCTTCCTCCACATCACACCGAAACTTTTCTAAAGATTTCCTAAAGATTTATTTGAAATGTTTGGAATATTTAATTGCAAAGTTTAGTGAAAATTGTGTAAAGATTTAAATGTCCCACTTGAATAAATGTTTAGTGTGAAACTTTCCTGAACATTTATTTAAGTGGGATATTTAAATCTTTACACAATTTTCACTAAACTTTGCAATTAAATATTCTGAACATTTTTAAATAAATCTTTAGGAAATATTTAGGAAAGTTTCGGTGCTGTGGGAGTTATACACTAACAAAATTATTAGTTTGGCTAAACAGATTTTGTTTGTTCGGACTAAATAATTTTCTCAATGTACATATAAAGTCAGTGTTTAACAATTGAAAATGTCGGATCCAATATATGGCGAATACAAAATTAAAAAAATTAGATTTTAATATAAAAAAATTTGTATATATAGGGATTTTTTGAGGTGGGTAATTTTATTTTTACGATAAAAATATCCAAGACGAAAGAATAATATATAAAATAAAAAGTTCTTGACGTTCAAAAGGAAAATTATCAATAAACGTTACTTTCACTTCTTGGCAATAAAACATACGAATTTTATTGCTTTACCCTTGTACTTGAACTCTAAATATATTGGTCTAATATAAAAAAACGAAACAAGATCAAATTTTTTTTTTTATTTTTCGTTTTTAAATAGAGTTCAAATATTTGAATAATGGTATAACAATTTCGAGAGGAAAATTCAGTAAAATATATATTCTATAATTGTTTATAATAACGGCTTAGAATATTTATTATTGAATAAAGATTAATTATATAATTAATAATTAATTTCATTTAAAAAAGTTAACAATTTGAATTATTTTACTTTGATACCCAGTGTGCAAGGATACAGAACAATTCTGTAACAGTTGTAGAACAAAAAAGAACAGGTTCTAGAACTTGTTACAAACTGGTTACTAAAAATGTCGTCCCTCTGAAGCAACAGTTCTAGAACAGAATCTGTAACAGTTCTAGAACAGTGTTCTAGAACAAATCCATAATAATTACATAACAAAATTTTTTTAATATGATCTTTTTGCTTGAATAAAATAAGAAAAACATTTGTTATACATTTACATAAAAGTCGACATTTATTCACTGTTAATCCACAAAAATCAGTTCTAACACACATTAAAAATTATTTTTGATTTTTTACAAATAATAAATTTAAATATAAATTTGAAATATATATATATATATATATACACTGAGAAAAATGTTTAGTATCATCTACCAAAGTTTGGTTCTCTCTACCAAATTTTTTATTTGATATATGTGCAACTAATCCGTTTGGTTCGGGCTACTAAATTTTTTCGTTGAATCATTTTGTTCGGTCTACCAAATTTTTTGTTTTGCACAACTAACTTATTGTTTTTAAGCAAACAAAAAATTTAGTTAAATGAAATTTTTTTTTTTGTTTTCTCAACCAACTTATTTTTTTGTTTCACCCTTTTCTCTTTATATAACCTACCTAATGCCTACTTAAATTAATTTCTATCGCGGAAAAAACCTAACACTGCTGGGGCTCGAACCCTCAGACTACGCAACGCTAGTCGACAACGCTGACCACTACTCTACGAATCCTACTAACAATTTGAGATTAAATCATTTTCACAATGTATAAAAGCTGGAAAAAAACTTTCGTTCTTGTAACAAGTTTTATTTATTTATTTTCACTACACAAACTTTTTTTTTTTAAAATGTCTGAAAAACATAAAAACTTCAACACTGAAACTTCACGACGCGAACGACATATGGTTAATGTTGACATCCCGTGAATGGGAAGCGACGCCATATTTACGAGAAGAGCGCGTGCGCAATACAGCATGTCAGCTATTTAGTACTGGGAACCAAACTATTTAGTTCGTAAACATGAAAGCTTCAAATATATTTTTTGGTAGAGCCAACTAAACTTCCCGATTTATTGCCACTTTCTATTCTGTTGTGACAACCATATTTTAGTAACGCCAACTAAAAAAGCTCAACTAAATTATTTTCTTATTATTACGAAATTATTTTTCTCAGTGTGTATATATATATATATATATATTATGACTTATTTAAAATAATTTTTTCGTAAAATTTTTTGTACGATTTTAACAGTATTTGTTTTAACAGTATTATTATTAATAATAATTATCTTTAGCGTTAATAGAGTTAGCTCATCAAGCCTCATTATTGTATTATGTTCAAATGTAAAACATAGTAAAACTTTTATATTCAATAAATATTTGTTCCTATGAATTTCACTATCTTCTTTATTTATCTTTACTTCTTATAGGCACACATTTTTTACATACCAGAAAACAATTATTCTTAAAAAATGTTACTTTTATTTATAAAACACTTCTAGAACATTCGCAATGGAACTGCTCTATAACAAAGCAGGAACCATGCTATGGCACAATTCTAGAACAAATCTAGAACTAATGTTCTAGAACATTGCATTACAGAACAGATACAGAACAAATGTTACATAACAAATCTATAACACAGTTCTAGAATTGTTCTATAACAAAATGATAACAACTGTTCTAGAACAATGTTACCTGTTTTTTTATAGAACAGTTCTAGACCGTGCACACTGGGTAGTCAATGAGAATAATTTTTCTTTTTGAACTATTGACATTCTAATATAGTTGTATAATTATAGTGACCACAGCAAACTTTCAAATTCTACTATAACATTATTTAGTTTCCTCATGTAAAGTTTTTAGAACTGATAATTAACTAGTCGCATAGTAAATTGTAATTATAGGACTAATAGAGAAATTTCATTATTTTCCATGAAGTTTATATAATAACACAGAGTTAACTTAAAATTATAGATCGCGGTGTTTTTGGTATCAAGTTATTGATACTAAAAGTATCAAATTGATCAACATTTTTATATCAATTTGAAACCTTTGATGCCCTATACTTAGAGAAAAACTTATTAGGACCTTGTCAGTTTTCCTTTAAATTAATCTATTATGTGAGATTATTTTTATTTTCAATAAATGACGATTTTTCTATAATGTCGGTTTTATATAAATAAAACTTGTAGCCAGAGGATTTTTTGGGGTGGCTTATTACGAACCTGATTTGAGATTTGCAATAATTTTAAAATTCAAAATGGTGGACGAGAAAATAAAAAATTTTACGGATTTATATGAAACTTGTTGCTAGAGGGTTTTCTGATTAAAATAGATATTATAGTTGTAGAAACATTTCTAAAAAGGTGTAGTGATGATTATATAGTACAAGAATTTTTTTTTGCCTAAAACGTTCGCAACATTCGCCTTTTCAAATTTTCAAAATCTGACGTCATATTTGTAATGAGCAACACCAAAAAACCCCCGAGCAACAAGTTTCAAGCAAAACTGCTCATTTTTAACAAAATTTCCGTCATATTAGATCTGCCATTTTGAATTTTAAAGAAAAAATGAAAAACTAACATCATGTTCGTAATCAGCGACCCCGAAAACCCCCTAGCAACATGTTTCATGTAAATCTGTTAAATTTTTAATTTTGTCGTCCGCCATATTGGATCCGCCATTTTGAATTTTTAAAAACTGACATCAGATTCGTAATCAGCGCCCCCGTAAACCACCCTGGTATAGTAATTTTCGTGAGCGTAGCTCAACTTTTTAAAGTTTTAACTTATGTTTTTATGAATGCAAACTTTAAACTTGTTTTTCTCGAAACTAAATTTTTCAAAATGGTCGGATAAGGATTACTCCCACAGTTTTTAATGGATTTACTTGAAATTTAGACTACAGCTTGAGAACACTATTCCACGTAGGATATTTTTTTATTTTTTCTGTATCGTTTGTTTAAAATAAATTATTGAAATAGACTATTTTTTAGGTGCTCTGGATGATGTTACCTCTTAATATAATTTTTTTTTTACAAATGAAACAAAAATCATATCAACAGCTTTTTTCAGTGAGGGAAAACTAGGGAGACCCTAACCA